AGGCTTCTTTGGCATCCCCCTTGCAAATGTCTCCTTTCGTCTCTTATTTCTACAGATAAATTCATCCATCAAGTCATTTACATCTAGGGTTGAAGCTAACTCGTCATAAATATGTAATGTTGCAATATGATTCAATCGAGATTGCAACATTGTTGTACGTAAATATGTCTTTAAACGCCTCAATGTCGAAAAGGAGCGCTCATTTGTACACGTAGAGCCAGGTACCGTCAACAATATTTGGATCAGTCTTTTGAACTCTGGAATCATGTCAGCGAGCGCAGGATTGTCCTTCAGGAACATGACGATATCTTTCAAGGAGTCAATTTTCGCCTCTTTTCCAGTAGAAANTTGAACGTAAATATGTCTTTAAACGCCTCAATGTAGAAAAGGAGCGCTCATTTGTACACGTAGAGCCAGGTACCGTCAACAATATTTGGATCAGTCTTTTGAACTCTGGAATCATGTCAGCGAGCGCAGGATTGTCCTTCAGGAACATGACGATATCTTTCAAGGAGTCAATTTTCGCCTCTTTTCGAGTAGAAACATCGAGAAAAGTGTCACGATGACGTTCCAGTAATCCTGCATTGAAATCGGCGCTTCCTGTATTGTACACTTGCGTGATCTCTTCGGTAGTCACTTCGCCTTTACCCAGAATAAAGTCCTCACATTTATTAAGGAAATTTATCGTCTCTGACTCAAATCGAGTATTTAATGATGACATAACTTGATCAAAGACTTCATAGTAAGTTTTCCGAAAATACTCTTCTGGGGTGCTGAAGACGTGTGCCTTACTAGAACTGTCTCTGTCCAAGCGCCTTGAGATTTTTCGTAAACGCGGGATCTTTGGTTCCTCAATATCGAGGGAAGTGATGCCGTCCATGGATTTTTGCCAAATTGAGGAAAATTTGGAATCACGAGTCGCAGACAATATTTATTTCATGACCTGCACTCTGTTGTTCGACTCTTTTATACACAGATCAACTCGTTGCAGCTCTGCGTTCAAAATTTCGATTTGTTCAAAAACGTCAATCGACAAAGTTAAAAGAAAGAAGAAATCAAACGATTCCATTTGATGCAGAAGTCCCTCCACTTTGGCGAAGACATCCTTATTTTGACAATCGTCTTTGTAGCCTTCGAGAAATTCCATAATCACTGAGTAATTTTCGTGGACTGTTTTCAGTGACTTCACGCGAATACACCAACTACCAGAGAAAAATGAATCGTAAGAGACATGAATCAAATTGCCAAAACAGAGAATTTTTCATTCTAGATAGTTGTAAACGTTCCCGTGTTGGACAGAATGCTGCTAAGTTCGGATTATCTGAAGTTTGCAATTTCTTGAAAGCAGCTAACCGCTTAGGCGAATCTCGAAGAAAATCAATTAGATTTTTCATGTTTCCTAGAAAATTTCTTACGCATGGAACGCGTTCCATCGCATCTTGAACAACTAAATTGAGCGTATGAGCTGCACAATGAACGTACACAGCACGCGGTTCTACTTCCTTGATACGTGTTTGAGGACCTGTCTTGTGTCCGCTTACATTGGCTGCCCCATCGTAGCACTGACCACGCATGTTAGAAAAGTTTAGATTATATCGGAGTAATGCATTCTCGACGAGCTTGAATAATGTTTCCGATTTTGTATCCTCTGTCGAATAAAATCCCCCGAAAATTCTTCGACAAATAGATCTGTATGCACTACCCTAAGACAAATTGAAACTTGTTCCACTCTAGAAATGTCTGAGGTTTCATCAATCATTATAGCATAATACTTCTCATTTATAATCACCTCCAAGTTTTTTCTCAATACCTCATTAGCCATAATTTCCAAAATTTCATTAACGATATCATGGCTCAGCCATTTCCCTTTCTCTCGATTTAACCACGTCTGTAACTCAGGTACGCGTCGAGCTAGCAATCGTAAAACTCGAAGGAGGTTAGAACGCTCGTCGTTGTTACCGCGAAGAGGTAGACCTTGTTGGGCTAACATTAAAATAGTATGAAAAATCTCTGATAAGGCGGTACGAGAATCAAGCATTTCTCTCTGCTTTGTCGTACTGATTTGTTCAGCAATATTTGTTCGTTTCCTAAAATTATTAATTGCATTCACTGCCTCAGTATGCAAAGAACTAGATTCGTGATTACGATAACGAGTTATGGCATTGGTCCAGCAATTAAATCCACTTGTCACAAATGCCTCTAGTGAAATACTTCCACTTCTACACGTTAAAGAATCTCCTAATAATAAATTCTTCTCTGTAGCTTCAGTACAGATTGAGCACACGACTTTTNAAGCAGCTAACCGCTTAGGCGAATCTCGAAGAAAATCAATTAGATTTTTCCTGTTTCCTAGAAAATTTCTTACGCATGGAACGCGTTCCATCGCATCTTGAACAACTAAATTGAGCGTATGAGCTGCACGATGAACGTACAAAGCACATGGTTCTACTTCCTTGATACGTGTTTGAGGACCTGTCTTGTGTCCGCTTACATTGGCTGCCCCATCGTAGCACTGACCACACATGTGAGAAAAGTTTAGATTATATCGGAGTAATGCATTCTCGACGAGCTTGAATAATGTTTCCGATTTTGTATCCTCTGTCGAATAAAATCCCCCGAAAATTCTTCGACAAATAGATCTGTATGCACTACCCTAAGACAAATTGAAACTTGTTCCACTCTAGAAATGTCTGAGGTTTCATCAATCATTATAGCATAATACTTCTCATTTATAATCACCTCCAAGTTTTTTCTCAATACCTCATTAGCCATAATTTCCAAAATTTCATTAACGATATCATGGCTCAGCCATTTCCCTTTCTCTCGATTTAACCACGTCTGTAACTCAGGTACGCGTCGAGCTAGCAATCGTAAAACTCGAAGGAGGTTAGAACGCTCGTCGTTGTTACCGCGAAGAGGTAGACCTTGTTGGGCTAACATTAAAATAGTATGAAAAATCTCTGATAAGGCGGTACGAGAATCAAGCATTTCTCTCTGCTTTGTCGTACTGATTTGTTCAGCAATATTTGTTCGTTTCCTAAAATTATTAATTGCATTCACTGCCTCAGTATGCAAAGAACTAGATTCGTGATTACGATAACGAGTTATGGCATTGGTCCAGCAATTAAATCCACTTGTCACAAATGCCTCTAGTGAAATACTTCCACTTCTACACGTTAAAGAATCTCCTAATAATAAATTCTTCTCTGTAGCTTCAGTACAGATTAAGCACACGACTTTCCTGGATGAACTGAGAGAAATCCAAGGATACTGAGATTTCCACCGCTCCCATGTACTTTTTGAGACGGGCAAATCTTGATCTAAAAAGAGTAATAGCGAGAGAATATAAAATTTAAGAAAATAACGAGGCTGGCGTGATTTTCAATGATTTGTAGGAAATCTTACTTGACTGTTTATCTTGAGTAGGGATATTTTCGGAATCACTCTCACATTTGTTGCTGTTATTCAATTTTTGTTTTTTTCTGGGTAGATGTGTGTCAAAAGAGTCTGAATCTTTATAGGTTAAGTCGTCTGTAAGGGGTAGGTTGCGTTGTTGAGGCTCTGCGTCGACTGCCTTGTTTAATGGTATGAGAAATCTTTTCATCTTGGCCTAGCAGATGTTATTCAAAAAACTTCTATAAATTGATGAATAATGCTGTTTTCGGGAAGACGATGGAAAATGTCAGGAAGCAAAAAGATATCAAACTTGTTACACATTGGGATGGTCGATATGGTGCGAAAGCGCTCATCGCAAAACCCAATTTTCACAGTTGTTCTGTATTTGATGAGGATATGGTGATGATTGAAATGAATAGAACATCAGTTTATTTCAAAAAACCCATCTACATTGGATTCACAATCCTCGATGTGTCAAAAACTATTGTGTATGATTTTCATTATAACCATGTGAAACCCAAATTCGGGGATCTTGCGAAATTGATGTATACCGACACAGAGAGTTTGGTGTATTTGTTCCGAGTACCAAATATTTATGAGTGTATCAAAGAAGATATAGTGAAGTTCGATATCTCTGATTATAAAGTTGATAATGAGTATGGGATTCCACTGAAGAATAAAAAAGTATTAGAACTAATGAAAGATGAAAATAATGGTAAAATCATGGTTGAATTTGTAGGATTACGAGCAAAGACATATGTATTCAGGATGTTGGATGATGATAAGGCTAATAAGAAAGCTAAGGGTGTCAAAGCTGCGACACTCAGGAAGATCACATTTAACGATTATAAGAACTGTCTCTTCGATAATGAGCATATTGTCAGGGATCAATATTTAATTCACAGTAAAAAACATGAGGTGCACACAATCTGTCAGAAGAAATCAGTATTAAGTTGGGAAGATGATAAGCTTATGATTTCACGCTATACAACAGATACTCTGCCTTGGGGATATATCAACCCTGGCGCTCCAGGAGCCACGGTATTTGCGTGGCTGTTGCGTGGCTATTAGGATTGTCATTTTTGGGGCTAAAAAGGGGGAAATGATATCTGAAAACACAATAAAAGTGGATAGACGAATTATTTGTTTATATTCGCACTGTTTATAACATTGTATTCTATCAATTGATTAAAATTAATGTGAGTGTATATAATGTGAATACAAGTCCCGTAGGGGGAATGCCGGGAGATGGCGGCAGTGTCGACATCCCAACGGGGTCGGTCAAGTCGACAGCAGTCGCAGCCAGAATAAGTGAGACCCCAACAGAGGTGCGGCGCCACGGTCGATTCTGACGGCTGGGCGAGCTGCCTGTGCCGGTAACTCGGCAGTAGGGCCAGAAGAAGAATATCCATGGATTTTTGGAGTGCGAGACAAGCATATCAGTGGGAATTACGTAGAGTGGGGGTACCCTGGGCAGGGAAAACTTCTGCTAGAAGCCCTATAGCAGTCCCGCTGTCACAGGGGTAGGTTCGAAGGGGGGTTTATGTCCTCCTTGTCCTCAATGTTTACTTCAGGTTAATATTAATTAATTAATATTAAGGGATGAGACAAGGACTTTTCGATGGAGAATTAGATTCCCCATCTATCAACCCCCGTTTCATCCCTTAATCTTTGTAATAAAAAAATTAAAACTGCGACGAAAGTCACGGTGATATGAGAAACCCAATGGTTTCTCGGCGCAGAGTGCCACCCCAATAATTCGCCCGCTAATTAAAAAACCGTCTCTCCCCCCCTAATTAATATTAAGAAATGAAACTAATGCTGTTCGATGGAGAATTAAATTCCCCATCCATCAACCTTTGTTGTATCCCTTAATCTCTGTAATAAAAAAATAAAAACTGCGACGAAATTTACGGCGCTTTACGATAACTCGCTCGCTAATTAAAAAATCGTCTCTCCCCTCCTAATTAACGTGAAGAAATGAAACTAATGCTGTTTGATGGAGAATTAAATTCTCCATGCATCAACCCCCGTTTCATCCCTTAATCTCTGTAATAAAAAAATAAAAACTGCGACGAAATTTACGGCGCTTTACGATAACTCGCTCGCTAATTAAAAAATCGTCTCTCCCCTCCTAATTAATATTAAGGAACGAAACCAATGCTGTTCGATGGAGAATTGAATTCACCATCCATCAACCCCCGTTTCATCCCTTAATCTCTGTAGAATTAGAATTAGAATTGGAATATGCGCGGCTGGTCACTTAAAGCGCCCAGAGTCACCTAAATCATACGATCTTTTGTAACATCCGCCTTTGTTTCGGTCAGTCACACAGCCNGCTCTGAGAGCTATATGACCCGTGAGGAGCCCTATTGCTATCCTCAGATCCCCTCTGTGCAGCTCCAGAAGCTTTCTGGTTCTATCTCTTAGTTGCCCCCTCATAAGCAGTTTCGCTTGTCTGCAGGTCGCAACTTTCTCCCAACGCCTGACATGATCTCGCCAGAAATGTTCTTTAATAAGAGTTTTTCCCACTGCGAAGGGCATGCCAAGCAGGCCGTGTGAGGGTACGGCCTTTCTGTACCCTCTTTGGCCACCTTATCTGCCTCTTCATTACCCAGAATCCCATGGTGGCCTATGACCCAGGTTACGGTAACCTGGTTGTTTTTACCCAGTATGTCCAATGCCTGCATGCATTCCCACACCACCTGTGACTCTGTAGTGGTTTTTTCCAGGGCGTAAACCGCCGCCAGGCTGTCACTGCGGATGAATATTTTTACCCTTTTATGCTTCTCGCGTTCAGATACTCTGCACACTTAAGTATACCCAGCATTTCTGCTTGAAAGACGGTTGAATGGTGGCCCACTGGAAAACTCTCTCCAAAGTCATCTTTCAGACGGTAGATGCCTGCCCCAAAACTTTCATGGAAGCCAGAGCCGTCCATAAACCAGTAGTCCTCTTTTGGTCCTGGTTTAAGTTCCGAGTCTAGCCACTCCTGTCTGGGTGGTATACTCGTTCTGAAAGTTTTCCTGATCTGATACTTTCTAGGAATTCTATCCGTCTTACCTATGAAGG